GCTAAAAAAAGTTTCATTGGGAAATGCCATTAATGTCTAATTGATGCAAAGGGGGGGAGAATGTAAAATCTGCCTAAAATATAAAGTCTTTTTACAGCATGATAACACTCCATTTTGGCATTTTTGACTCCATGGCATGTACCATTTTTAAATTACTTCTGAAAATTGAATTATTTCCAATTCGAGTAAACAGCATACAAAACAAATTTTAAAAAAAAGTGTTTCAGTTTTATTTAAAAAGAATGTTTGATTGACTCAAAAGATACTTTTTCTAATATAATTTCATGGACAATTTGTACATTTTGTGTTCTCATTTGAAGTTTGTAATGGGAAAAGCCAATCCATGTAATGCTATGAAACAAGAAGAAAATCACCTAGTACAGAACTCCACCGTGGTGTTTTTATGTGTCTATGGTACTGGGTAAAGAAATGAATAAAAAGGACAATGAAGCTGGCACCACTGAGCATTAATGAGGAACATTAACCGTTCCTGACAGGTCATAAAACTGACTCTGTCTGTGAGAGTGCATTTTCTGCCCCAGTGGTGGAACTGACCCTGAACCTCTATGAATAGATCAAAATTGCACATAGACTGTTACTAAAATGTGAAATTGATAAAAGTGAAACCTAAATAAAACATGTATTGATTTTCATGTGTTTATGCATAAAAATTGTAGGAAAATATGCAGGTAGTTTTAAAACTTTGTCATACTTTTTTAAAAAGCCAATAAAACCTAGTTGGATTTCATATACATGTCATAGAATTTCGTAGGTTGAACCCTGCAACAGGACAGCACCTCTTCACAGGTTATGGGCCATCTCTTGACTTAAGTTCATGTTACTAGAGAATGTCTGTGCTCTTTAGGCAAATATTTCCAAGGCTTTCTTGCCTTCTCTGTTAAAAAACACGTAAGCTTTTTAATGCCAAACTCACGGTCATTAAACTTTTTTGTACTACAGTGCCTACTACTATGAAAAATTTTATCTTTATTTATGTTCCTGCAGACCAGGAGCAATTAATATGGTATCCTTCTCCATGTTAACCAAAATAATCACCAGTCTAAAATGGATATTCTAGATCTTGGATAATACTTGTGACTTTGTTTTTCTGAGCTCTTTCCAGTATGTCTGCAGTCTTTCTAAGTGGAGGATAAAGACTTTAAATGTGAGAAATGTAATTGGTTTCCAAAGGTAACAGACTAAGGGATTAGTACTAGTCAATAAATGAGGAGATGTTTATTTTAGGGATGCCAGACACATGGCTTTCAGAGGGCTGGCTGCAATTAGATATTGTCAGAGGAAAAAAGGAAATGCGGTGTAATCTGCATTCTGATGTCCCCACAGAGAGTCTGATATGTAGCTCATGGTACCAAGAAGGACTTTTCCAATTGATTAGAACAGTTTTGAAGCAGCAGGTTTTATGTAAGGCTAGGGAATCAGCTAAGGACTTTGCCAAGCTCTGGTGAAAACAGAATTATGGATTCTGTTTTTCACTGCTTGTGAAAGCTCTGCAAACAGGCAACAAAGAATGCTGAAAGGATTAAAAGACATAGCTGTAAGGTCCCCAAACTTGCTTCACAAGCCTCTTGAAAGGGCTTCTAGGGCCTAACCTAGGAGACAGAGAAGAAGTTAAAGAAGAGGAAAGTATACAAGAAGTCAAATAACATACAATTGCTATTTCAATAATCGTCAGTCTAGTTACAATAAAAATTTCAATCTGTGTAAGTCATCGCTCCCCACCCTGTGAGTCTCTAAAACTGCAGGCAAGTTGTGATGCAAAAGAGGATTTGGGGGAGGAATTCATGAAATCAGTCTTTCAGCTGCAGTGACCAAGGAGTCCAGCAGATTGGCTGGTGATTTCCTTGTTTCCTGATACAGTATTCTTCTTCAGTAAGGTCCTGCCTTTTACATACTCCTTGCTCATTTACCAATAAAATATCAAACATTAGACAATGTAATAAACCCATTTTTGATACTTGCTGGACTTGTAACATGAGCTCTAAAATAGCATGGTGAGTTCAATTTAGGTTCTTTATTACTTATTGGTATTGCAAATGCATTGCACTCCTTGTGAAAAAATACAAACTTCAAGGATAGGCCAATTATCAATAGTTAGGTTTCCTTGACTTTTGGAGCCTGTAATCTTACAGGTCCAGGTATTGTTATAACCCAAACAAATGCACATGTCCCAAATTACCATCCTCATCCCTCCCACCAACCAGGTTTCAGGGGAAACCTCAGGATCCATACTGAGGGAAAGAGGGAAAAGTCAGCCCATATGTCTGTGTTTGGGGCTGGATAAGCTTTACAAGCTTTTAGCAGCTCCATCAGTGGAGAAGAGTTCATGTCAATTTTTACCTGGGCTTCCAGGGCCATTCTGCTGGAGACTATTGTTTTAGACCAAAAATTAATTTTTCCTTTTTTTCCCAACTAGCATTTACCTCCATCTAAAATACGTCACTCAGGAGCACTCTTCTCACTGTGCCAATTAAAATGTAAGGCACCAAAAAACTCTCCTAAAAGGGCTTATAGATTTTTTATATACTCAGAGTTAGACACACAGAGAAATACTGACAAGATAGTCTCAAGAGGTCAAAACAACAAAAAAATGTACTGGTAACTTCAGAAAATCAGAGAGCTTTGGCAGAAGTTCAGAGCAGCATTCAATCAACATAAAACAATTCACAAAGCTTTGGCTTAGCCCATTCAACTTAGATAACTCCAAGCCCATCTGGTTTTAAGTTATTCGAAACTATAAGAAGACAGAATTAGAAGAAGGAGGTGAAAGGGAGAGAAAGAATATAGAAAATAACTAATATAGCTGCCACTCCTGAGTTCCAGCAGTTTCAGCTGACAGAAATTCCAAGAGGAATGACAGACATGCCATGTGCTTGCCCTGTGTCCTGGGTTGAGTGCCCTTTGGCTGTCCTGGGCCGTTCCTCCAGCAGGGATTTTGGGTCATCTGGCCACTGTGGGGCTGGGTTAGGGGCTCCAGAGGTGGGTGTGGAGCATTGCCTGTGCTGTGCCAGGGATGGGCAGCCCCTGCAGGGCTGGGATACAGGCTCTGGGGGTGTGGAGCATGGCATTGCCTCACCAGAGCAAGGCCTGACCTGCCCCTTTTTCCCACAGGTGCACCCAAATCTTTTGAGCGACAAATCCTTCCCGTCTCTCACAGTGGGGTACCTGAAAGAGCCAAATGCATGCAGTTTAAAAAGAGAAAAGCTTAAGACATGCACAGCTGCTCTGTAAATTCCTTCCAGAAATGAATGTATCTTCCTACAGTTTCTCTGTGAATTGCCTCTCTGCATCTTGTTAAAAATACAAGGTGTACACAAAGGAAATAACGTGATGTGCGCTCTAATGCACAACTGCTGTCCTTTTTTTATGAGAAAATTCCTCCCATTCCCTCTTGTAATCTATTTCTCAGCTGGGTCACTTTCAACTCGGCTCAGAGCTTTGCAATCGAGTTCAGTAGGAGAGAAGTATTTGCAAGTTATAAGGATTAGTTTCTTTGAACTCTGAGTACCAGTATTCCTGCAGCATAGAAGATAAAAAAAGAATTTGTGTGAATTGGAGAATAACAAAACATCTTTACTCTTCTTTGTACCTTCCCATGATAAAAAAATAGAGCTGAAATGAAGAGTATGACAGAATTCCCCTTAAATTCAGTAGTGTCTGTTATTGAATTTTTCATTAACATTTATCATTTCCCCCCCTCAGCAATTTAACAATGGCAAAACAGTCTGTGTAATTAATTGCACATACCAAATATGTATATAGAGCAGTTGGTAGAAAGAGCTCTTGCATAACATAAAAGCCACGTAATTCATTCCTCTAATGCAGTCAGGTATGGACTGCATATGTGCATATATGCATATATACATACATACAGACATGCCTTGTGGGTATCCAAAGCTACAAGATGTCCTGGGGAGGGGAAAGAGCCTAAAGCTATAAATTTAACAACTATAAATTTAACAACTCGTGCATTAGTACTTATTTCCAGGACATGTGTGAGTATTCTCAAAAGTTCAGTATTTTTATTAATGCTAAAATATGCATATGCATTCTTATTTCCACCATGTATTTTTCTTGACCTTCCTGTTTAAAGAGTAGATTGTTTAAGTGACTAGAAATTATAAAAACTACAGCCAGCTGTTCAGCTCAGGTACCAGGCACATGCATGCCTACCTATACATATATAAATACCTGTCTTGGTGCATTAGTAGTATCTGACAATCTTGTTAGTCTGTGACTGCTTTGAATTTTCCCTGTACATTCACAGCGAAGGAGCCCCTGGATTGTAGATTTGGCATGTCTTGGATCCGATACCGGGGACTTCAATCTGTTTGCAAAAATATTGTACATGCTCCTTTATTTTCCAGGGAGGATAATCAGCTGTTGTTCTTTGGGAACACAGTGATTACCACTTCCAAGATAATGTCCCATGTGTTTTTCTCTACTTTCTCCCAAGCAGGTATGCAAACTCCTGTTAACCTTCTCTAGTCTTTTGTCCCCACAAGTATAAAAAGAGAGAATATATTTCCACAAATATAAAAATACCTACTTAATTGCAAAGTCTAATATATTTATCTTGGATTTACTTCTCATGACAGAAGTCATTGAAGTCTTAACGAAGACGGCCAAATCTCTGTTGATAACGTAGTTATGCTTTGTAACTAAAGCAAATCCAATAGCAACTCTAAGTACAATTTCAAAAAATTGCTCTTTATCTTTCATTACTTCAATGATTTCTAGCTTGTGTTTGAACATTCATTAATTAAATCAGTCAACTGTAGGAAAGTTATTTTACATACTTTAGAACAATACCTAAAAATAGTCAAGTCAGATGTTCTTTACTAAACTTATCCATGATGTGAGTTCCAGAGCAGTCATTAGGGCCTTTTATAACCATTGTGAGTCATTCTGAGTATTTCTTAAACTTTCCAAGATGCAATTTGTTAGTTAACTTCTCTTTGAAATATTTTTTCCTTAGAAAGCACTGGAATTTTCCTTAGAAAAAACTGGACATTGGTCCAGTAGGAGTAGCTATTCCACTTGTGCGTGCCCAAATTTTTCAATGACTTTGAACAAGGTGCTGAAATCCTCACTCACTGTGAAGAAATAGTAGCCTACAGATGTTTTTCTTAGAAATCAGAAGAGGTAAGTAGCCTTAATATCTGCTGTGGGGTGTTTCAAATCTTCCATTATCCCAGGAAAGCTAGATTTCATTGAGGAGAGAACCACTAAGGAGTGCGTCAGAAACACCAGAGGGAGGCTGTGAGAGTAACGAGGCACTGATCTTCAAATTTGAAATAAGCTGAATGTGACAGTCTCTGGACAGAGAGACACAGTTCTGCCTCTCAGGAGAAGCACAGAGAGAAGAAGAGAAAACAATCTTTATCTCTGCTCCTTTGCTTTCCATCACCTGCAGTGATGGCTGGGCTGGATTCTGGTGAAGTTGTCTGGGGTCAGTGACCAGTGGGATCCATCTGTGTTGGACTCTCAGCACAGAGTCATGAGTTTGTTAGACAGGTAAGTCAGCAGTAAGTATGTAGAATAGGATAGTATCTCTTTAAATAGTGTATTAATGTAATATAATATAGTTTTAATAAAGCTATCCTTCAGCCTCCTGACCTGGAGCCAGACATAATTTCTTCCCCCATCCGGGGTTTGCTGCATTTTTACTATAAGCTGTATAAAAATCTGAGCTGATATCCATGTAGAAAATTTATTAGCCAGCCTCTTTTTACCTACCTAGAGGGACAAATGCCAGGAGTAGCTCAGACCATTGGATATGTTGATCCTAATGTAGCTGCCATTCCCATTCAAGAATTTCTGAAAGGACTAAATAGGCATCTGTAGATTGATTCCCCTTTAAGGTTTCTTCATTGCATACACTGGTAAATATTTCATAATAATTACTTCCCAACTAAACAGCTGATGAAGGCTGACTCATGGTGAATATTCTGAACTCTTCAAATGGCGTCACTGAAGCTGAAAGCAGAAAATATGCAGCATGATAAAATTGTGGGGAATAGAGCTGTATGCATATTTTCTTAAGTAACTGATCCACTGAAAGACTTACACTTACTTTGGAAAATGAAATGCCTAGATAAGCATTAGATTAATGAAGTACACTAAGTAAAGTGAAATGTACCAGTGTTTATGATCTCTTTTAACAGGAAGTTTAGTAGCAAGACGCGATAGCAGCATTTTTCTTTCTTCCTAATAAGCATTATATCCTGCCCTGAGAAATATCTTTATAGCTACTCAAAACTGTAAGGTGTGGGGAAAAATTTTCACTGAAAGGATGGTCAGGCATCTGAACAGGCTGCCCAGGGAAGTGGTAGTAGAATCATCATACCTGGCAGCATTTAAAAAAACAAGTGCATGTATCACTAGGGTATGTGCTTTAGTGGTGAACACAGTGGTGCTAGTTTGACAGGTTCCCTGATTTTATAGGCCTTTTCCAATCTTAACACTTCTGTCATCCATATTTTATAAGCCTGCCAAGAGCCATCAGTAGAATTCAAATATAATAATTGGGAAATTAGTTGAAAATGTGTGTACAACACCACATGTCATTATTTATTGATTTCTAGCAGCACTTCTAAACTAACAGAAGTTTACATTTTCATTGCATGTTTGCATATCTCTTAACAAGTTTTCAGGATGAACCAAGCCTGGCAATTGAGATATTTTAATGGCTATGTCTCAAAGAAATCCTTCTGCCAGCAGCATCTTGTGGGTGACCATCCTTACTCCCTGACTTTCCAACCTGACTGCACCACAGCAGTGGCTGTAAACAGCTTGACCCACCTGTGTGTGCTTCTGCAGAAAGTGGCATGCCAGAGAATACATAACCTGTTGCACTCTTTTACAGTTCAATGAACAGATCTCACACCATGTTCTCCGTGCAGATTCTGCAGGGGATTTTGCTTAACTCTCTCCTGGAAAAATGGAAAACTCTTTTTCTGAACTTATTAAAAGCAGGACTAAATATTTTTCTCTCCGATGAAAAAGTTGGCATTACAAAAAAAGAAGGGTTGCAGAACAAAAATATACAGGATATTTTACTGAATGAGTTAATTAAATATTGAATTCCCATAATGTGCCATGGTAGCTTCACAAGAAAAGGAATTCAGTTGTATGTATGAAAATCAATACCAGCACAAAACTTGCCCTAATATGATAGCAATCTTCAGCTGACTGCAGGACTCTACTGAGCCATAAGCTTACTTAAAACTCAGGCAAAACTTGAAGTAACTTCAGAGGGAATTTCAAGTGGTAGAACTTGTCTGTATTTTTTATGATTCCCTGGTACCTCTGAAATGTTATTGCTGCATTTTACTGGAAACTAAAGTTCACGTCAAAACATTAATTTCACTGTAAAATCAAGAGAGAAAAATTGTGAAGTTCCATTTGCATAATCATATTATCATACCAACACATTTCCTTTTTTGAGTGAGGGAATACTTATTAATCATCAACCCAATTAAAACCAATTAGGTATGAATTAATAATACCTATTAATCATCAACACAGGTACAGAACCTGTGTTAGTCCAGGTGAGTCAAGTTTCAAATAAAGAGACAGTGAAACTGGCTACGTGGAAAAAGAAATACACGGATGACACAAGAGGTAGAGGATGCTGTTCTAGTGATTTGCAGTTATATGCCATGGGCAGCAGAAATTACAGAAGAGAAAACTATTAAATGATTATTTCCATTCATGATCCGTATCTAAATATTATTTTCACATGGCATAGAATTTTTGCTTTACTTCTCCTTATTTTCCATCCGTTTTCTTCCAAAAAAAACTCTGATAATAATAGTAGTGCAAACAGAATAAATAGTAAAATAAAATAATTTAAAAACAAATAAACCAAACCCTTTCTAGTGACAGAAATACTGTCAGTAATGGCAAAATGTGCAGATATAATTTGCTCCATAGGAGCCACTACTGTGTAAGTGTTTCAATAGCTGACCCAGTGTATCTTGACTAAATTGCTGTTTGAAGATACAAGTAGCTAGATGGAATCAGTTGTCCTCAAGGTAGCCTAAATATCTCATGCTGTGTTCATTAAGAACATCACTCAGAGTGCTGTGTTAGGATTCATGGGGTTCTTTGCTCAATTTGATCATCTTTAGAAGTGCACAAGATCACAGGCCAGATTCATCAAAGCAAGGGATAAAAGAGATTTTCCTTTGTACAGCTTCGATGTGGAGCTATTTTAAATTAAAGTATTTTAATAAATTTAGTTTTCACTTCATTAATAGTTTTGCATTTTGTAGTGTATGACTGCTAAAGCAAGAATGTTATGAAAAGTTTGTACTTGTTTATATATAATTTTCAATTGTATACTGGAATTTTGGTGCTATTTTCTGGTAGAAAGTGTAGCTAATTTGTGACTGTCTTAATGCAATAATAAAAGGGCCTCTGTAGAGATCCAATTATTAAAATTATTAGAGAGATGCCACTGCCCAAATTTAATCACAAATGAGACCATATACCAAAGTCAATAGAATGGATTTTTATTTAGCAGTAAATGTGAAGGAGAGAGAGAGAGAGACACAGGGAGAAGGAGGCTGGGGAGAGAAAGAGAATGGCAGAGAAGCAGAGAAAAATACCTCCACTCTTTAAATTCCACCCACATCCTGTCACTCCTCCTGGTCTTCTGGAGAAGACTGCAGTCTTCTGGAGGTGGTGGCTGCAGGCTGTGGCCATCAAGTGGTGGGGGAACAAATCCAAAGAGCACAAATTCTGTTGGGTTTATAGTTGCTCAGGTTCAGGTGGGAAGCAAGTGGCCAGATATTTGACTCATTAATCACTAGCACTCTCACAACCTCTTAATACCATTTTTTTTTTTTTTTCCATACATGATGTAATTTGCATAAGATGATAGACTGCAGTTTGGGCTTTTAAATTAGTAAAAGGAAAAGATTACTCAAATTAGAGCTCATTTTAGGATTCAGTCATCTCAGTTTATGAGGAACTATAATTGTTTAGACACAGGAAACTAAAAATGTTAATGAAAATTATGACTGTCAATGTTTTTAAGGGAATACAGTATGAAGAATAAGATTTGGAGTTGGAGCACACTTGAAAATGTCAAGACCCAATAAAACCTGAGAGTGTCTGCACTGAAAGCCACTTCTCTCTTGGAAACCATTTACCTGGGTGACATCTAGAGTTTATTATAAAAGATGATTTACAAGAGACAGCCAATGTATTCTTTCTGCATACTTAATCTTCCTTGGACTACAGCATGTTTTGGGATCCCCTAATGCCAGGACATTATAAACAATATTGGCTTGGAGGGAGTGGTCGGGGCAGTGTGGCTGCAGTCAGGTTGAACTCTGCACTCTTTTGTAGAGTGTTTTTATTAATATTGTTGCTGTTATTGTTCATTTTCTTTTCTCATTGTTGTTTCTAGTAAGTTGTTTCTATCCCAACCTGTGATTTTTGTCTTTTGTTCCTCCAATTAATTGCTGCGTTGGGGAGGGGGAAAAGATGGAAGAGAGAGCAAGTAGTGTGTGTTTTTTTGTTCCAGTGGGAACACTAAATTGTGGAGTACCTTTCCTAAAGCATGAAAACAAAGTTCACCAGGGAGACTGAAAGAAGAACAGTTGTTATATGCTTTATACTTAGGAAATATCTTAATTTTTCCCAATTCCAAACACTAAATATTCTACAGAAATGTTCTTATCCTCTTCCTCCAAAAGTGATGTTTGGTAAAAAACTTATCAGAAACTTACCAGAAAAACGAAAAGTTAATTCTATCTGTTTTCTTGGATACTCTAGAAGTAACGTCAGGACTGAGTCATATAAATTTGAGACGGAGAATCAAGTTAGAGTATTCCTGTTAGAGGCACAGAAGATTAAGAATAAAGCTAATAAAGAAATAATTTAAAATTTTCTTCAACCTGCTTCTCACCACTGTGTAATTAGACATAAACTTACTAATTGCTGACTATTCCCAAATTTACTGATGCTTAAATTACAATCTGATATGTCATATGTTTATGTCACATTAAAGTCCCCTCTGCTCAATTAACAGACATCTAATCTAGCAACTTTTCAGGCAAGTGCAATAAGAGCAGCAATTAATTGTAAATGCTTCCAGATAAATCAAAGGAAGGCATTGAAGATATTTGTCTATCAGCTGACGTGAATGCTCACCCACATGCTTCACTGCCTCTGAACACATGTAAATTATTCTCTTACAGCTACCAGCTAAGTACATTTGTGCACAGAGAAGTCTCTAAGAATAAATGTCTTCTGGCATTTTAGAGAGATAATGTCAGGATTCCTGTCCAACAGAGGAAAACAATCCTGTTTGTTTATCTAACTGAAACAGTACAATATTGTGGGAAAAAAGATGCGAGAGCAAGACAGAACTTTCTTTAGACATCTCAGTGCTATATCCACTTCTTTCCAGAAGCAAGGCTTAACCCAGAACAGGAGCTAGGCACACAATTGGCACCTTCACTCAATGCCATCAGATGTAAATAATATATGAATGACCAAAGTGGGACAAACCAATCTCCTATGATAGCCTTTCATTAACAGGGGCCATCAATGAATGTCTGTGGAAAGGTCCCTGAAACAACATATTTAAGCATCCAGAAACAAGATGAGAAAGTAAACACACACTAAATGTCAGAATCTCTTTTGATAAACTAAAAGCAAGTGGAGGTTTTTCTTCTCTGGGAAACGTGATTGTTATGATAAACATCCTTTTTTCAACCTACCCAGACAACTGATAATCTGAAATCAAAGTCTTGTTGTCAGGATGCTACTTTGAAAGTTGGAAACAGTGAAAATACTAACTTTAATAAATAATTTTACAAAATAAAGTCTTTAATAGAAAGCCTCTTTTCCCAGTAAAACTATTTTTATCAGTTTTATTTAACTTTAATAAGTTAGTATTTTAATTTAGTACTATTGGTACTGAATAAGTCTAGGAACAATATTCAGTGTTATGAACTCCCGAGTTTAGTACTCAAAAATAATTAATTCTGGCCTATCCTGGTCATTTTCTTGTTTTTGGGTCTCTAAATCACACCTTGAATATTAGTTTAACTAAAAGGCTTTTTGATGAATATGTATATACAGGGCACGCAGTTCACTGCACTCTTAAAGTTCATCAGTTTACTGCCAAAACATTTTATTTTAATATGCAGCTTACTGCTCTTGGAGCTTAGGTTTTGAATTAAACACTGGTTTTATGGCTGCATCTTTTTAATGGGTAAATGTACACTCACAGTCCTCATAGTCCCTTCCTTCCTTCCTTCCTTCCTTCCTTCCTTCCTTCCTTCCTTCCTTCCTTCCTTCCTTCCTTCCTTCCTTCCTTCCTTCCTTCCTTCCTTCCTTCCTTCCTTCCTTCCTTCCTTCCTTCCTTCCTTCCTTCCTTCCTTCCTTCCTTCCTTCCTTCCTTCCTTCCTTCCTTCCTTCCTTCCTTCCTTCCTTCCTTCCCTCCTTCCCTCCTTCCCTCCTTCCCTTCTTTTCTTTCTTTCTCTGCATGTTAACTCAACCCTTCTCTCATAGTGTGAACTGGTTTGTGCTTTCTTTTGAGGTGCTCTTTTAGATTATTGACAGATGCTTTTTGACTTCTGTTTTTTTTCCACAGCCTGAAGTCTTTAGATTATTGAGACACACTTGGTAGCTCTGGGAGCTGCAATTGCTTTTGCTTATGTCATGGTGCTGTTTAATTCCTGTCTCTTAAGACTGCTTTTATTGTCTGATAGGTCATCATGGTCATGGAAACACCCTGTATAAAGACTCCACAAGTAGCTTATATTTGCTCTGACTGGACTGAAATAGGCAGAATGCCAAAGCATGTTGAGCCTAATAATTTTGCTTCATAAAATCTTGAAGGGCACAAAGGATTCTGCCAAAAACAACTAATTTCTTCTCCCAAGGGGTTCTTCTTGGATTTCTTATAAAGGCTGTGGACAGACTTTGATTGAACTCTGTGGGTCAGGGGTCAGTAAAAGGTAATGCAGTAGTGGGATGAGCACTTAACATTGCTCAATGCATCTTGAAAGAGGTATGTTTCAAGAAAAAAAAAAAAGGCACAAGTTAAACACAGAGTCCTTAATGTCTTGATTATCAGAGGCATGTGATCAGAGAAAATACAATTAGGAAAATATGAAGTGAGGAAATACTGGGAGAAAAAGCCCATAATAAGAAAAAGTCTATTGAAATGAGACTTTATGGACATTTGCTGAGTGCACTTCTGGCACTATATGAATAAAATAATAACATGGAAAGAGCTGTCTCCCATTTGCAAGAAATAGAAACAGTGCTCTAAAGAGATTGTATGTACAATAAGAGATAATCTGTGATTGTACACAATATGCTGCCCAGAAAGGCTGGTAATAAATCACACCATTATTTTGTTTCTCAGCATTTGTCTGCACATTTATGAATATTATTAAAATAATGGGTCAAATTTTATTTATTTCACTATGACTCAGCTGGAGCAGTAATGAAATTTATGTCCACTCCTTTTCCCAGCTGTTCCTACAAATGGCACGAGAAGGAAATGTGGATATGTCTGACGTGCTTTACGTTGAAGTACAGTGGTCTCCAGTGCTCTGACACGGCCTCCTGGGTCTCTGGATGGAAATACACCATAAAAATAGGAAAGCTCAGCAGATCCCAGAAGTAGACTTTATTTTCTTACTCCTGGTGATGTGGCACTGCTGATAGCGCCGTGACTCTTTACATCTCTCTTCTCAGGGCTGGATTCGTGCATGAGGTCTGCATGCAGGTACTTTTCTCCCTTCCTTTTATTATTTTGAGGTTAAAACTCACATCTGTAATTTCCATGTTGAGGAGGAACTACTGAAAACTCCTAGTCTGTGTCATACATCAAGATGGAGAGGCTTCCACTCCAGGGAAATCTGGAAGGCAGATTCATCTAACACACCATGGAGGCCCTTCTAAGTTCTCAGTGAGATTGGCATTTTTACCTTATGTACACTGCCAGTATCTCTGAGAGGCTGTTTGTTTTCTAAAATTTGGTCTTTTGTATCTCTGTATATTTGTCTGGATGCAGCAGTTGTGTGATACAGCATAACATTGGCTTTACTGCAGTGAATGTAATTGTTTGTAATACCAGATAGGTCTGCCCTAAAAGTCATGATACAACTGTAGGTCACATCCACCACTTTCTGGAAGCAGAAATCAAGTGTCTGGATGTATAGATTCCATGACAGCTCTAATCTGGAAGTCTGGCAAACTCCTTCTCTCCATTGCCTCCAATGTAAGAGGAATGGCACAAGAAAGAGGAAAATTCCCGAGGCTTCCAACTGTCTACAGAAAGGATTCAAGAGAGCATTCTTAAAGGGGTGGAAGAATCTCCCAGTGTTGGGATGATATCTGGTTGAATACCACTAGGTAGATCTTCAAAAACCTAAAAATATGCTTGCCCAACCTATATGATTTTCTGGAGTAATTATGCTGGTCTAGTTCACCTGCTATTTTCCATCACTAACTTCTACAAATAAGATTATGTTCAACTCAATTACAAAGTCCCAACATTCAGGGATGTTTTTTGTTGTTTGTTTTTTGTTGTTTGTTTTCGTTTTGGTTGGTTGGTTTAACCTGATTTAAAAATGAGATTAAATTTTGCTTTTAAGGGATGGATCCCACTTAACCTCAAAGAAGACAATTTTTCCCCCCAAACAAACAGTAATAATTAATAACACATTTCTTCAGGCAGAAAACACGCATGGAAAATCTTTGTGATGAATATTTAGGTTATTAGCATAGTAAAACAGGGGAATATGACTGAAATATTGTCAGCCCTTATATAATTAGTGCTATTGAATGCATCCTACTAGTGTATCTGTCTTTGTTTTATTCATACCCTCAGGCTTACAAGACAAAATTCTTTAGCTATATAAGTATATATGTTTGGTATATAGACATTTTGTACATTCTCCATTTTAAATATAAAAACTCTTTAATGAGATAAGCTACCTCACTGCACACCATAATGTCTCTTTTTATCAAACTTTTTCACCAGTGCACAATTTTATAGGTGAAGTTCACGGAAATATGGAATAACTGCCCAAGAAATCTCTGTTTTTATCACTGACAAAGCAGAGGATTTCAGCTTCACCCTAGAATGACACATAAACACTATTGTTTACAAAAAAAAAAAAAAAAACCAAAGAGAAGTGGCAGAAAAACCTCTCTGATGCCAATCAATTATATGGCAGGTATTTTAACAACAGAATAATAATTTGGAATGGGGAAGTTTATTAGTAGGCATAAAAATGTTGACTCCCTACTAGGGCTGCTGTTAATATATGTAAAGCATAACATAAAGAACATTGCTGAAAAAATAACAACAGCTTCTTCAGCATGCATGGAGAAATTACTTGTAGTTCCCTCTATCATCAAATGCTGCCATTTCAAAATGAATGCATTGTTCTTCTACATTTAGTGGGTATTTACTGCATTTTGCACTCCCAAAATTTGTTTTGTCTCTCAGGCTCTGCATGGAGAGCTTTTTCCTGACTCTTAGTGAGGAAAGTTTAAATAATTTTAAATATTAGAAGTGAGAAGGAATCAAACCTACACTTATTTTTTCTAATGCAGAGCTGCAGTGCCATACATACTAGCAGTACCACTGAAATTAAAAAAAATAATTTTGGGAGAAGGAGATCAAGAGAATGTAACAAAAAAAGTCTATAGCAAAGAAATTTTTGGAAGAACAGGAATCCTCATTTAACTGGATGTTTTTCAGTTGTCTTCATTTTTTTCCCAATAATCACCCACTAAACCTTCAGAGTGCTCTCTGCTGGTTCTGCCATCACTTTTGACCTCATCTTAGCCAGTTGAAGTACTTTTGACTTTTCAATACTAGAGATGTTAGCTCAGGACATTGCTCATATCCTCAAACCCCACCGAAATCTCACACTAAACTATGTGAATTTACTGAGAATTTACTGTGAACTTATTTTCACTGAGAATCAGAGATGGACCAGAGCCAGGCAGAGGGGCTGAGCAGCTCAGTTTCAGTCTTCCCAGTGTGCAAAGCAGATTTTCCTATACCAAAATTCAGGCCACCATGCACCCTTCTGCTTAGTGAGAGGTGTAACTCTTAAGTCATTACTGAGATTTGTGCATTAAATGTGTTAATTGCAAGATTAGAAATTACTTTTGAAAGTTACTCTCGTATAGCAGGAAGAAATGCTGTGTTTCAGCAGACATTGCAGTCAGACAAACACCTGATTTTGCAAGCACCAGTTTTGAAGTACAGCACTGGCAGTCAGAAAAATCTCGTTTGGACTTATAGAATGAGAGACTTGCTGTGGATATCATTCAGAGAGAAGAAATAAAGTAAATCAAGATATTTCTAATATGTCACTTCTCTGACCATAGCCTAACATTAGAAATGAGATTTCAGAATAAAGAGCACCCAAAATATTACACGAAGTGAAACATCTACAAATGATTACAAGGAAAAATTTACTTTATTAGAAAGATAGGTGCTTTGATCAGTGTTAACGAGCTGTACATGAAAGGTATGGATTTCAAAGAAATGATGGAAACTACAATGTTGGAAGAATGTAATAATGTTTCAGGCTTTCTGCCTCACATTCCTTTCTTAGTAGAAAATTAATGACTTACACGACTGAAAACTGTTATTTTAAGATTACTGTTTTTGAAGCACTGCTAATTATTCCTAATGAAATTACTGTGGACACAAGCACACAAACTGCTTATTTCACTTTGTGTTGATACAGCTCCCTGAACTCTGAAACGTGCAATCCAGCTACCTTACAGCACTCCCACAGTTCCAGGTTAAATGAGTCTTCCCATAAATATGTACTGATCAATTAATCAGTTTTTCTGATAGTCACTTGCTTTTACTATGACCACAATGTTTGAAAACAAGCAGTCTGAGGGCAGGGGATTCAGTTTGCCTCTCTGAAGGCATGAGAGTAATGGCTCATCCTGCTGAGAAAGCTTTCGCCACAGAAAAAAAAAGAAAAAGTAGATGAGTGGATGCTGGCACTAGTCTGTCTTTCCTTCTGTGTTTTCCACTAAACGCAAAATTTAAATATATATGCGGCTCCACACACACAGAAAGTATTTCTGGACCTCAAGAAAGCATACCTTTCCTGTTCATGTATCATACACACCAATTAATATGCACATAATTCTTATTCAAAACCCCTCGCAGGGCTGGTTCCTGTGAGAAGCTGCTGGAAGCTTCCTCCAGGTCCAGAGGAGTCAGTCCCTGATAGTCCAGAGATGGGCCAGTTAGAAATGCTGATAATGCCCTTGTGATAACAGACCTAAGAATAAATGTTACAAACCAATAAAAGCCAAAAGCAAAGCATTACTGCACAGTTGTAACTGCAGTCAGAGAAGAACAGAGTGAGGAGATGTGAGAGGAGCAGCCCTGCAGACACCAAGGTCAGGGCAGAGGAGGCACAGGAGGTGCTGCAGCACCAGAGCTGGGATCTCCTGCAGCCCAGGGTGCAGCCATGGTGAGGAGCTGTGCCTGCAGCCCCTGGGGATGCTCAGGGATGCAGAGATCCACCTGGGGATGCTCAGGGATGCAGAGATCCACCTGGGGATGCTCAGGGATGCAGAGATCCACCTGGGGATGCTCAGGGATGCAGAGATCCACCTGGGGATGCTCAGGGATGCAGGGATCCACCTGGGGATGCTCAGGGATGCAGGGATCCACCTGGTGGTGCTCAGGGATGCAGAGACCCACCTGGGGATGCTCAGGGATGTAGAGATCCACCCACAGCCCCTAGAGGAGCCCACTCTGGAGCAGGTGGGTGCCTGTGGGAGGCTGTGACCCTGTGGGAGGCTGTGCTGGGGCAGGGTCCTGGCAAGGACCTGCAGATCGTGGGGAGAGGAAGCCACGCTGGAGAGGTTTGCTGGTAGGACTTGTGACCCCAGAGGGGATCCATTCCGGAGCAGCTGTCCCTGGAGGACTGCACCCCCTGGAAGAATGGCCCACGTTGCAGCACTTCCCAGAGGGCTGCTGCCCATGGGATGAACCCAGAGGAGCTCGTGGAGATGTCATGGAGAAGTTCATGCAGAGCTGTCTCCCGTGGGAGGGACCCCATGCTGGAGCAGGAGCAGGAACAGCGTGTGATAAACTGACCACAGCCCTCATTCCCTCTCTCCCTGCACCACCGGGGGAGGAGGTAGAGCTGGGAAAGAAGGAGGGTGGGGGAAGGTCTTTTCAAGGTCTTATTTTACTTCTCATTATCCTGCTCTGATTTTGTTAGTGATAAATTCAATTAATATTTATGGTTCAAGTCTGTTTTGCCCATGATGGTATTTGGTGAATGATCTCATCCCCAGCCCTTAACTCATAGCCTTTTATTGTATTTTTTCTTCTCTGTCCAGCTGCAGAGAGAAGTGATGGAGGCTTTGGAGGGTGCCTGGCATCCAGACAGGGTCAATCCAACACTGCACATGAAGTTATGGACCTCAAGATGTGCCTCTGAAGTTTGTAGAGCAGAAGAAGAAACATTACCAGGGGATGATGCCCTAATTATTCCAGAGTTCAGCACCACCACTGTAAGCAAAATAAAAGCCTGCAGTAAATTCACTGCAAAAATGTTTCTAAACCCCTGGCAAGCCTTATGGCAAAAAAGGTTTTTTTAACAATAAAATGCAGAGCTTAAGGAAACAGCTGTTGTCTCTGAAGATAGAGGCTGACAAATGAATTGGTGAAACACATTGTTATCTATTTGGCTTTAAGGTAAGTTCTTCATGCCTTTTGGGTAATACATTTTTAAAATTTTACTCCTACATAAAAGCTGATCAAGTTAGCCCTTCCAGTAAAAGGCAAAATCCTATTGTCCTCCTTTCTCTGCTCACTTTTTCTTCCTCTCCTGTTTTCAGCACTACCATTCATCCTCCTTCCCTCCTGCTGGCTGGGCTGCACAGCTGAGCCTGAGTCAGCTTACCAAAGTTATCAGCACAAGTGAATCACTTCCATATGAAGCTGATAAGGGAAGTAAAAGTTTTTGCTGTATCAGCACAAGATATTTGCTTTAATTCTTCACACTTTTATTTATTTTCATATATATATATATATATCTGTATGTATGCGTAATGTTAAAGTAATTCCTCTATCATATTTACATGTCAGTGATCAGTCTGCTAAATCATCACAGAAAAGCTTATGCAACACAAAAGGGTCTCTTTGTGTTACTCTTGTCTTCTGCCTTCTGGAGATCCCCATAGTATCAGATAAGGCAGCTGAATATCAGTGTTCCTGCTATTAAGCACATATTTTAAAAGGAATATATTAATATAAGCATCTATTTTAAATTCATCCTGTCATTTTTAGTGAAACAGTAACTGAAACAAAGCTGTTAATTTCCCCCACTGGCCTTGTTGGAAATGGGCATTTTGTAACACAATTTTTGAATAGTGGGTGGTGATAACAAATACCAACAGACATGAAATAGAGGAACAGCCTTTTGTATGAGTTAACACAGAAGCAAGAATTCCCACTTTTTGGGTTTACTTCTTGTGTGCTGCTTATTGGCACATAGTTTTCACAGTGGGCATCATAGAGCAGTGAAAATTCAGGCTCAAATGGTCAACCTTTGTTATTCTGTAATACAGACACTTTTAATTGCTGGGTGTTGGTCACTCAGACACATAGTCTGAGAATGAAAGAAGGACCAAAAGAAAGAAACCTGTCAACAAAATCTATCAGGAGTGTTACTCTGGAAGAAGAGTTTAAGTGTTGCTGTTAAGTACAACAAAAAAAAATCTTCAGACATAAACGAGAAAGAAAATTTAATTACTTACAATGGCTGATTATTGCTAATGTAGAGAAAACCCTTTTTAAAAAAAAATGCTTTTATCTCTGTTTTGTCTCATAAACACTTGTGTATCAGAGTGGGAAGAAAAATGAACAAAACCACAGGACTCAACTGGCAAGAAGAGATTAGAAATGCCACAAACCAGTTTTGCAAGAGCATTCCAAAATGTAGCCTCGGATACTCAGGGCTACTTCAAGAAAACATTGTTTAGCACTCTGTGGACGTCAAGTCCAGAACACATTGCTGCTTCTTTTTTTTCAGGGTTTGCAGTGGGAGACACTTGACCATTTACTTACTATTCCCTACACATAAAAGCAGCACCAGAAATGCTCAGAGCAGAGAGCTGGAACTTCTGGGACAACAGGACGTGAACTGGACCATGGATGGTGCTTCCAGGCAAGAAGCATCTGTAACTACTGGGTAAGTAAAGAAAAAAAAAATAATTAAAAATCACACCTTGTGCACAAAAATTTACCTCCTTTTTGCTGGAAAAAAAAAATAGGGGAGATGTCTCAAAGTTATCACCAACATGTAAGAACAAAGTTAGAAAGTGATAATTTTATAAGTGACACTTCTTAAGCTGACGAGATTGTTGGAAAGTGGTGCTTTCAGGTAGGATGTAAGTGGGCTGTAAATCAGCTCAATTCATTGTTGAAGGAGCAAATCTGCACAGCAAAATAGTTAAAACCACTGGTTAAAAGTCCTGTAATTTAGTAAAGAGGATCAGATTTTGTTATTTTCAAAGGGACTTGTTACAGAGAGAGAGAGAGATTCCTCTCTGATCGCTGTTAAATCATGTGAGCAGGTATCAATGACATGGCCTCTATGTCCTCTCCCATTAAAATGTAAGAACTAAGGCTTTAGCAGAATGGGAAGAAATGAGAAAAATTCTCAGAACCTGAGGAAAATAAGAGACAAAACAGCACAAAAGACTTGCATTGAGATAAAATATCTGAATGCCCTAAAAGCACTATTTACAAAAAGAAATGCAAAATGATTGTTGAATAATTTTAACAAATTCTAATGCTAAAATAATGTGGAAAATCACATGTTGGTCATTCTGTGTAGGAAAAAAAATCCTCTGTTACCCCTTCACTCCTAGATGAAGGCTAATGGAAGCTGGTTGGTGTTAATTTCACAGCTGTTGTTAATTACTTAGGCAATTAATCTAAGGTTTCCTCTGCAGGTAGTGAGGAGGGAGCAGAACCCTTGCTGTAGTAAGGGTTCTGCTCCCTCTTCATCCTAGAATTTATATCTATAGGGGGTCAGAGGAATAACAGAGGCAGACAATGATTACTTTCAGAAGGTCACCTTGGAAAGAGGTGCCCAAAAAGATTTTCTTACCTGGATGACTAAAGAAGGTTTTCAAGCTTATACTTAGTAGTAACTTTTACAGTTTTTCCAGCTTTGGGCTTTCAATGTTCCTCAGAATTATTAAGTGTTTGCTTAATCCTTGAGGCATGAAATGCAATAGGATGATAAACAGTTCAATTTGGGCATTTTACTTTTCATATGGGATGGATAGTAACAGCAGAAAAGAGTAGCTTTGTAAATAAAAAGGGGAGAAGGTTCTGAAAGCTATCACCTGTACTCCCTTTAACCCTCAGGCAAATCACTGGAGACTGATTTTCTCCACTAGGACTTAGCCATAAACCATTTAAAACATGAAAAATAAATAGAATGTAATTGTCCATTGATTTCTGGCATTCTTGCTTGTTTAAATGTTTTCCAATGGTTCAACATGAGGATATTTGCATTTTCTATTTTATTTGTTTTCAAATAAAACCAATTTGTGAAGTCTAAACTTTAGAAAAAGACAGACTTAAGATTGTCTTTGCCCATTTTGAATTATCTACATACAGATTATCATAGTTTTTTGCTTTATTTTTTTCACAGCCCAACTTTTATTAGTTTCAGTTGGAGCTGCATTTTTGCAAATGAAGACTTTGCTGTGACAAGATAAGCACAAAGAAAATGAGGAACATCTTTCCTCTCAAAAGTTTGGTTTAAGTGACTCCCTTTGAATCATACAGTAATCTTGTGACAGATGATGATACAAAATGCATTTTCTATGCTGGCATTACATTGCCTTAACTGTAGGAATAAAGCCCACTGAAAAACAGATTGCTGCTTCAGTGTTGGTATAAAACTGAAATTATAAACCTGCATGATGAATTGCTGAGTGGCTCAGAACAAAAGATTTCAACTACATCAGAAAGAAAAGGTAGTCTCTGAATTTATTATCCAAATGTTCCATAAAGGTGATGATCTTACAAGAAATATGTTTTGTCAAATAAACATTTTTTGTTCACAGCACAAATAATAATTTTATCTACCCAATAATTTTTACTAGCTTGGTCTTTTAATTGCTTCGAGTCACACATTTTTTTATTCTATAACTTGAAAAAGTAAGAGGAAGGTCTTAATCATATTATGACTAAGCTGACATACACAACTATTTTCTGGGCATCTTGTTCACTGTGTGAACCTAAAAATGTAGGTTAGGATCATATAATTAATGACTTTATTATAAGGCCTATAGAAAAGAGACTTGATTTAATATCAGTCAGCTTTATTGATGGTAATTCCCAATTCTAAATCATACTTTTTCAACAGTAATATAATTTTTTTTCTTTGTCCCTGTGAAAAGGAAAATAAGTAACTAATTAAATCTTATTTTTCTACTTAAACATAGTCATTAACACCCTGATGATAGGGGCCTGCTTTCTCCCTTATTTCATAAAGAACTAATGACTAATGAGGAATTATTAGTAATATGGTAATATTAATAATTCTGTAATACAAAGAAATTATACGCTTTAAAAATTACACTTCAATGCTGTACAAATCATGACAATAACAAACTTTTGTTAAGCATTATAAACTTGATAAACTCACTGACATACAGTAATGTCTTAAAAATGTGTTAGAAGTAATGTAAGACAATTGTGCTGTTTCTGATTGATATATTAATATATGATTACAAATATTCCCCCCAGTTCTCATTTGGATTGGATAATGAGCATTGTGGTAGAAAGCAAAAAACTGTAGTTACCTAAATTAAACAGTGTTGAGAACAATTGACTGTCTTGAACTTAGTGGCTAACACACTCAGAGCTGTACTACTACAAAGTATTGCATGGAAGAGTAAATTATTATATACATATATTTAAAATAGCAGCTCAAGGGTAAATTTAAGCTTAAGTTTGGACTAAAACTCATTACTTGGGCAATAATACTGATCTGAATTGGAAGTTTTCACAAGTAATTTGTTTACTGTTAATGTAAATAGGTCAACTCCAGTTTTATCTCCAGGACTCCGTGGATCAAACACCTTAAAAGGTAATGTGAGTAATCTCATATCCGGTCTTGTTTATGGCAACTACATATTTGAAAAATGTAGAAATACAAAAAGAGATAATTATTTAGGTCACAAGGAGATGTGGCTAAAGCTAATTTATTGCACAAATTATTAATTACTAATTAAGGAATACCTACAGGAAGAATATGAGAACATGAGTGTTTCTACTCTGTCTGGTATCTCAAGGCATCAATAATTTTACCTATTTGCAGAGATCAGCATGTTTTTTCCTATTTGTAACTTCTAGCAAAGTTCTTTTGAAAACAAAATTAAAGTTCTTTAAAAACATCCCTAAATCAAATCTTACAGTGCTCCTTTGGTCTCCTGACCTACAAAAAATGTTTTAGACTTTAGAATTTCTGTAATCTCCTAATGTATCTCACCATTTTCAGGAAAAGACAAGCAAAATGTTTGCTGCTTTGGATACAGGGCTGTTTCAACTGTGTATTTCCTCCTCATAGGGTTTCTAAAAGTTAGAATTAAGATTTTGGTTTCAACTTTAAAACATTACAGCTTCCAAAAGAAAGGGATGATGGCTAGCAACTGGTTTAATGTAGCTTAAGCATGTTCGAAAGGCTTGATTGAGTAAGCTCAGGGACCTGACTTCTTGCTACTTGAAAGATTCACAGGGCTTAATTCTGCTAGCCTTTCATTGTCACCTTATTTCTGTAATAAATCCCAGCACTTCTCTGTAATTTATTGTGCAAATGAATAATATCAGTGCAGAGACAGTGGTCTTGGGCCAAAAGCAACTGCTGTATTTCATGCACTGCTCAGAAGTGGCTATCCACCACCACAGGAACAAAGAAAACGAGGTCAACGAAAATCCCTCATTTCCACTTCAAATGAGAGCTTGCTATAAAGAACAACTTTAGCCCACAGTTTCATTTCTACTTTTAAAATTCATCAAAGAGAGTTCTGTTAAAATACTGTGCAATGATATTAGCAGTATTAATAGGAAATAATTATGAAGAGAAGTAATACCTTTTCTTGAACGGGTCCTGATATAAAGTACCAGTGCTGCTAATGTAAAAGCTTAGCCTTCTTGGTATTCAGTGCTTTATTAAAAGAATTTTTATTGGCTAATTCAAGAAAGAAATATAACTAATGTCTCCTTCCCAGTTCCATCCCTATCTTTCATTGCAGTAGTATCTGGTAATAGAAAGTGCTTCTGGCAATACGTATCTGCGTATAATGCATACAATTTTCAAGATATAAAAAGGTATGTATGGAGGATGGCTACTTGATACACACCACAAATATCATAACATTTGCTGCCGCAATTTAAAACTAAACCTAATAGTTCTTCTAGTTCTTTTGCTCTTATAATCATGGTCTTGTATGGGACAAGTTCTCAGCAGAGGAAACTGTCATAGCTCCATCAATGACAATTTATAACTCATCTGTCAATCTGACCCTGTACTTTAATCCATCATTACGGTCTCAGACATTGCCTCTCAGAGTTCTTTTTATCACCTTTGTCTTCTACTGAAAATTAAATGTAAAATTAAAGAATTTCATGGAGTTGACATTATTTATGTAACCAACTCCTGCAAACCTGTCTAGCTCCTGGGTACCCTTATGATTCCTTGATGACTATGCTGTCAGCACACATGCCATGATAGCATGCTAGTAGTACCAAGGTCTGTTTTCTTATTACTATTTACTTTTCAGTCTATAGGGTTTATTTTCCCCAACCCCAAACAGGAACAAAGCTCTCTCAGCCTAGGTAAAAGTCGAATTTAAAGTACATAGAGTTTAAGAAATGCAATGGGCAGGATATTGCTTGTATGAATTACAAATAGCAGCATTATCCATCTGCATCCTGATGACAAGTAACTCCAGAAAACAAGTCTTGGCATAGCATTAAATTTCCTGTGTTAAATAGAAAATTTGGGAGCTAAACCAGGTTGAGGCAGCGTCAAAGAACAGATGCTTTCTGATAGCTCGCTATGGCTTTGATTCAGGAGCATATTTAAACACAGATATGTTTAAAGGTTTTACTGCACAGGGCTAAATGTAAATCTGTGCTTAGAGCTAAACCGTGTATCTATTAACAGGATCTCTCTGCAATCACATTTTGTAGGACTGCTGTAGGGACTAGTGCTGGGGTATCTTCTGTTTTGATTATCTGACCATTATCTGTCAGGATGGGAAGGTCCATCAGATAGAAAATCAAAATATTTTGATTTTGCTGTACTGTGACTGTGTTAAAGGTAGACAATCTCTGATTCTGGCAGTAAACTAAGACAGAAATTACCCTAGACTTAAGACTAGCAAGGGGATTATTTTCTCTTTTCAAACTACCCTGTATCTGTGAAAAAATTATGCCAACTGAACTAGCTTCCAAAAATTCAGAATTCAGCTGCACATTGTTATGTCTGAAAGCAGCACATTGTTATAGAATTTTACTTTCTTTAGGATGGCAATTTAGCTTAGAATTACAATTATTGGTCAATACTGATGAAAATTTGAAGTGGTTTAGGCTGTCATTCTCTTGAACACAGCCTAGAGCTATCTCACATACTTTTGCTAACCTTTCAGACCCCTGCTCTGAGAGCATGTGAAGGTGACCACAGCTACTGCAGTAGTGTTCACTGATATTCAGCCAGGTTTCATGCATTGAACAGCACCTATCAGTTACTCTTTTTCTCAGCAGTTCCTCTTACTGCCATGGGAAGAATCATATTTTAGAGTATTCAATTATCAGGTTGCCATGATATATTTCAGTATAATTATAGTTCATTGTCAACTATAAATTATTTGAGGTGCTTTTCTGTTATACTTTTGGAATGATAATCTTATACCATTCAGAGACAGTGAAACAGTGGAATATGTACAAAACCACAGAAATGTTAAAACCCCAAAATCTTATTTCAAAAATGTTTTTGCTGTCTGCTAAAGTGATGTTCTTGCAAACCCTCTCTCATATATAAATAAGTGAAAAGTTTATAGATAAGCATACGAGAGCTTCTCTATATGTTTGAAGACATGGCATTTTTATGTGTGCCTGAAAATCCTAGGAATCTACCTAGCCTATACTCCCTGTAGGCACAGTTTGTGGTCATTGGGGTGGGGTGTGACTGAGCCTTATCCTAAATTGGGCACAGCTGTGAGAGCAGGTGAGCAGCATTGGGGGCAATGAGTGCCAGGGGCACTGACCAACCAAAAAGGGCACAGAGGGCTCACAGGTGCCGTGCATCAGCATCAGGGGATAAAAGCTGGGCTGGAGGACAAGAGGAGCACACACTTGCAGCCTTCTGAAGGGACAGGGTGTTGTTCTGTGTGGGTTTTCTGGAATTCCATGGGGACACTGTGTGTGTTGTGGCCATCTCAAGTGTGACCTGTGCTGCTGCTGACCAGCTGGGAATTCTGGGCACCAAATCCCCCATTCCACCCTGGGCTGCTGTTGGTACTAGGCACGTAAGTCAGAAGTGACTTGATTTGTTTCTGGGGTCATTCGTGGGGAAGAGGAATGCAGAAGGGCTTGTGTTTCTAAAGCTGTTACTTTCTAATAGATAAAGTGATATGTAATTCCAAACACTGCTTTGGGAGTTGCCTTTTAGGCATGCATGTATCTCCTGACCATTGGATTTTTTAATTGCTGTGTGTTTCTGTGAAAGTAATTCACATTCTGCATTTTGTGATGAGTGCCTTTAACCAAGCTTTGTGTTTCTGTTCTGATAATTCTACCCTAAGTGCACAAGTGGCTTTCTTTACCATGTCCACATGACAGTCTCAATTGTGAGATAGTTTTGGGGGTTTTATTTTCCCATTCAGATTAGGTAAATAAGATAAAAAGAAGGAATGTCATAACTGCTCTGTAGATTTTTTTGGCAGATGTATCCATTTTATGGTTTAGTGAGAGACCTGGTAGTTTTTATGTGGATTGTAATCTAGTTTTATCTGGTCTTGAGGACATCTGTTGGACTTTGTCTGCTGTGTGCCACAATTACTTGCTGTTTGATTTCTGTCAGCTGTTTTAAGCCATAGATATTGCTCAGATGCTCTCTGAACCTTGCTGTGGGCACAGTTTGTGGTAACTGGGAGTGGCTGATGGGCCACAGCTGTGAGAGCAGGTGAGCAGCATTGAGGGCACTGAGCAACCAAAAAGGGCACAGAGGGCTCACAGGTGCTGTGCATCAGGGGATAAAAGCTGGGCTGGAGGACAAGGAGGGTGGATGCTTGCAGCTTTCTGGAGTGAGAAGATGTTATTCTTTGTGGGCAGATGTCTGAAGCCTTTTGATGAGGTTAGGTGTTACTCTGTATGGGTGAAAGCTTTCTGAAATTGTGTGGTGATGCTCTGTGTATCATGGCCATCTTGACTGCACAATGTGCTGTGGTATTTGCTACAACAACCCCTACTTGTGGCTTAACTGATAATCCAAATTTCATGAAACCTGTATAAACAGCTTAGTTCCATGCTTGAGTGTTTCTTTTATCATCAGCTCTAGCAACTGATTTCAAAGTCTAATTTCTTCTTTGTGGTGAGGTGAGAAACTTTTGTCTCCAACCTCTGAACATGGGGCTGGGGTGGCCTGCAGATGTTAAATCCCTTTCTGGGGCTCTTGACAAATTTAAGATGCCAGGTAGAGAAGAGTTAATTGTTAGAGCCAGAAAGATACCTGGAGCTCATCAAGCAGTCAGATTCAGACTCCTCCTATAAAAGGAGACAGGGACTAGTGCGTAGTGAAGGGAAGAAGCTGCCTTCATCTCAGGAAATGCAGCTGTCACGTAAACTCTGAGTGTGTAGTGCCATCTGCTTAATGCTTGATGTTGCATTTGAATCACAGAATGGAAGAATCTCGATTTGAGAGCTTTGAGAACTTCTCTAAAGGAGTAAAGCAGAAGGAGCAGCCCTTATTCTTGTACTCTGTGGTGTGTGTTGCAACACTTCATTTATAAGTTCTAAAGGAAGAGGAGAAAATAAGATGTATAGATTCTGTATAAAATATGGAGACTTAGAAGAGCAATGTAGTAA